ACTAGCTTTCCTACCAAGCCACACAATTTCCAGTGATGATTTTGCTTAGCAGTGTGATGAACCTCAACGTTTGTCATTGTTTCCTGTGTCTGTAAGCCCTGATTAAACTATAATTTATTGTATCAACGTCCCAAAAGCTGACTCTGTCAAGTAAATTCACTTAAGGCTGCCATTTTTGCCTGACTCTCCGCAAACAACGAAACATCACAATTATAAACAAACATAACTTCCTAAATGTTACGGGCACCGCCATTTTGATTTGCTTGAATCCCTCCTTCAATCCTAGAGAGCAGTAGTACCACAGATCATCACTAGGAGGCGAGGAACCGTGCTAGCGTGATGTGTAAACGGTCGTAAGGAACCAAGCTCAGCACGATTAACTGATCCAAGCTTGGACCGAAGTCGGCACGAAACGGTTTCAGAGGGTAGTGTAAATAGAGTTTTTGTTATCAGAGAACTAAGCAACAACTGAACCATGCTGAGCCCTACTGTTGAACTAGTACTAGTTTTAACACGGTTTGGTTGTGTCTGGCACTGTTCAGTTCAGTTAAGTTCACTTTACACTAAACAGTTAGTTACTGTGCTCGGACCTTTCTCTGCACGGTTTCAATAGTGTATTGTAAATGGGGATTTAAGCTACCTGTGAACCTTTGACAAGAAATGTTTTTTTCATCCAAACTGACCCCAAAAAATATTTTTATAAGAACAATAAACAAAAAAGTCTTCAGGAAGCCCAAAAGAAGCATGCAGCTTTGATTCTGACTATTGAAGCAGTGTAAGGCACTATAAAGGGAATTCATCATAGACATTTATCTATATATACATATATATGCATTTCCTGTGCATTCTAATGTCAAACCTGGGTGTGAAATACATACCCTTCTCTCTGGAAAATTGTCCGGAAGCAGTCTCCCAAACTCTTGTAGCTGGTTGGGTCACTCGCTCCACGCTGGATTTGAAACCTACAAAAACATTTTTTTTACTCAAACTGTGATATTCCAACAAGTAGTTTTTGTTCAAACTGGGATTTCACCTATGTTTGTGTTTCCTGGAAGCACTTTCACACGAGCGTAAAACACACTGAACAAATTTGATGCTATCATTAATGAGCTCATTTCCCACTTTATTTTTCTCCCCTCTCGCCTTCATGTGACCCCTCCCCTCTCCTGCAAAGATGAGAGGCTCCAAATCCTAGGTTGTGTTAGTACGGGGGAATACTCAAACATTTATTTAACCCAACTGATCCAATTAGTAACCCTACACCCCAACACTGAGCGTTCATGGAAAGCTTGCCAACAGCTAAAATGCCAGTAAGCCTGTTTTAACATGTACACTATTGATGTGGTTGGCATGATTGTGGGAGTTTTTGTTGCATGCCAAATATGCAGGTAGCTAATTAATAAAGGATGATCTTATCTGTAAAAAATTGTAAAATACTAGAGAGAAATATATGCAAATCCTAAACCATGCTCTTTAAATGATTGCCAAATAGATTGTGGATTATTATGATGTTTGGACCTTCGGCATAACAAAAACATCACCAAACAGATCATAGAAATTATTGGATGAAATGCAAGAAAAATAGAAAAATTAGCTTAGGATCATATACATATAACAGACGACAGCAAGTCTGCAAGGACCCAGAGAGATGTCAGATGTAATGGTACAAGGGAAAGATTCCTTCTTTATATGGCTTCAACTGCCAGGTCACAAGGTTAGCAGTACGTCCTCCATGTGGGTGCCTGATGGAAGCATAAAGAGCTCTGGGTTTCAGCCATGGGGGAAGTTTAGTGAGGTTAGAGGCCTTTCATATCGCTAACAGATTGACATCTTGGAGGGGCGTTCCTAATATCCTATATGATGGAATCCCAAGAGCTTGTAACCATTCCTGAAAACCAGTAAAAACAGCATAATAAATAGATGTCTGACACCGTATTAAAAATGAAGAAGAGGAGAGGGACTCAAGGTATGAGAGGTGGTGAAACCAGAGGGATGGGAGAGAGAGAAGAGACCTCGATGATTTAAGACCACTGGGGCTTGTAAAAAAAGTTAAATCTGGCTTAGTTGAAGTCAAGGTAGGGTTCTGAAGGGTTTAGAAGACTCCGTGTCAACGGTCCACAGTTTTCCTTGCTCTTCACGCTTCGACCTAAACCAGCCCTAAAAAAGAGGGGTTGTTAGGGCCTTGGTCCAGTTCCAGCCCCTTGACTCCACTCGTGACACAGGGGTCAACTCATTTCCTCATGGCCCTCTTCTACCCTCCTATAAAAGCCAGGGACCAAACAGGGGGCCAGAAGAGTGGGAGATAATAGGGTGAAGTTGAAGTACTTTTGGCAGCAGGGGAACTATCAGGGAGCTTCTCATGTTACTTTTAACAGCAAATATGTTTTAAAAAAATAAGATTTTTATATTTTGTGAATCCGAGATGGATTTCCTGTTTTTGTGATTTGCACAGGAAAAAAAAAAAAATCTGGTTTTAGTTACAATGACTCAGCAATGTCAAGTAAATTGATTTACATGTCCTTTAAAGAGACGCAAACATCTATATGACTCTGGCAAATTCTTTTGGGCTTGTAGATCATAAACTCTAAATAGGAGCCCTTGAAAACCTTGAGGCTTTTTTCCAGACATACAGTTTGGAGCATCCTTTTCAATCCTCACTGAAAGATACAGCAAACTCAGAAGTGATGAGATGTGCAAGTCTATCAAGACGCTCTCCCGGGACCTCTTCACCCACATTCCACCTCTCCTGTATTTGAGGTTTACGGGCCCAGAGGTGCCCAGGTGAGGTTGAAGGTGAGGGCAGGTTGGCGGCTCCATTAACAAGACAAGTACTGGCATAAAAAAAAAGATTGAGTCCATCTGACCCTACTGCCTGTAAAAGTACAAAAGGTATGCATTCACAAGGAGTCAAAAAGGTAAATTATGTTAAAAAGGCGCACCAGAGCCCCAGTCTTTGCTTTTTATGAACATCAGCGAAGAGTTTGTGGAATTTCAGAGGTGCCAGACTGGTAAACTGAAAGACCTGGGAAACTAAAAGGAGAACAACTGTTTATACATTTAAAACTTCTAATAAGGTTACAAAAAAATCTTATATAGATTTTAAAAAAGGGGTTTTAATATTCTAATTGCATAAGTTCATCCTCATTTTACCAGATAATTTAGCCCTATCATCTGTAGGGTTGTAACATGGTATTGTGGCGTAAGATACGATGCTTCTGGTCAAAGGAAAATCTCTTTCACATAGCGCCCTCCAGTTGTTGTTGTGCCTTTGATAGCTAAATTAATATAAGTTGTTATGATATAAACATGGCACAAGGGCTTTGGGTTTAGCACTTTGCAACATTGCGTGGGACTTGTATTTTTATTTATTTATTTCTTAATGAAAACAGCTTATGAGATCCTCATGTTTTCATAGTTTCATTTTATTTGTTGAACAATGAACACTTATCAATAATTAAGTTCATGTTTGACTAGTATATGAGGATTTTATAAAAAAAAAAGAAAGAAAAAGGATTACAAAGTAAGGCTAAACATAAAAAGAAAATCACTATTTTGTTATAAAGATTAAAGACTTGATTTGGTAAAAAACACAAGTCGTCAACAAGTGAGGTCAGGAATGTTTTCCTGAGCCGTCATTTTAGAGCAATGCAGTTCAGATTTGATGTATTCATATTTCTTAAATGGTTAAATGGAGTCTAGATTCCAAAGTAAAGGAAGCAATTTAGCATAAATTCTATTTTTTGAGTATTGAATATATCCAGCTTTTACTATTGTATTTATTAAACACAAATACAATGGGGTAAAAATCCTAAACACAATAGAAAACCATTTGAAAGATTACTTATTTGCTTAAGTATTCTCACAAGATTGGCGTCCTGAGCTATGCAAGTTGCTATCATGTTGTACTAATGGATTTGGTTAATAAGGACATCATCAAACTGGCAACAACGTCCGATTACAGAAGCATTGCTAAAGCCAGAATCTTTGTTTTACACTTTTTATGTGACAGTCTACAAAACAGTTTAAAGTCCAATCCAGTCTACGATCCAAAAGGAAGCTCAATAAGAGATCAACATATTTGTTTAACAAAGAGGTGGCCAATTTTAATACTAGCCCATTGTCTGTCTGTATTAACGAAAATAGCAGTGTTATCTGCAACCATCCCGTTTGCTTATGAATGAATATTTTCTTACTTTAAAATCTCTTAGTTTTTAATGTATTTAAGCAAACTCAAATTCTAAATGTTATTGAATATATGGGTTTGTTGTGTTTTAGTTGTGTGGGAAACTGAGAAGGGACAATTTTTTGATCACCAGCCGCCAAACCTTCCTGAGAGCAGCTTGGATTTTAGCTGCATCTTGATTTTTAAGCACTTGCTGTTGTACTGACTGTGGATAAGGAAGGATGATTTACTCTAGTTGTTCAAAAGCAACAACATCTTTATGTCTATTTTGGACTCTTTTTCACATCCATAAAACTGATTCCTCTCATTTCCTAAATAGCTATGTTGGGACCAGTTTGTTCGTCCAGATGTTTGCTTATGTACTACGACCCCTGTGTCTTGAGTTAGGAAAGTGTTACTGGAGACACGCAGGAGATAAAACAGCACAGGGAGACTATTTAAACCTTAAAACTAGTTCAATGGTAGAGGACTGTTATGTTAAAGCAGACTTTTGGAAATCTTAAAAACATGGCTCAGGTGGTAAAACAAGCAATTTCAGCATCGTGTCCAACGTATCAGTATAACAAGACCTCTCCAGTGATAAGGTTACACCTAATGCAACCAAATAAAATTTGGTCTAAGTGTTAAAAAAATTAACAAAAGTTCTTGTTTTCTTTTCCTGCAGTCCTGAAACAACACATCAAAGGTGACATCAAATGCTTTCCATCTAAACCTAATAACCTTTTATTAGGAAAAAGACAAATCTGTGTGGGAACTTTTGATGTATATAGTGTAGATGTGGTAAAGGTAATGTGATTAGGTCAACTACTGTTGCTATCGATGAAGATGGAAGGTATAGAGGGTGTCAGTCTGATGTGAGGAAATGCTGTAGGAATCTGAAGGCTATTTTGAAAGCAGGCCATTACTGTGCACCCTAGAGAGAATTACCTGCATGCCTCCAAAAGAAAAATAGCGGTTAGATGTAGTATGTAGTCTTCTGTACTAAATCTTTTGGTTACACTTTCAGTTTTTGTCATTTGCTAAAGTGTTTTATTTGGCTTTGTTCAAAAATAAAATTATTCCTCAATCAAAAAAAATAAAAAACAAAACAAAAAACAGTGGAACAGTTAACATGGAAGTACTGCACCGATTATGATTATTTTCCTTTGATTTCACATTTTAGTTAAACCTGGAGACCTAAGTAGACCTTTATATTTTGTTTGATGTTCATTTTTAACTATATACCTAGTCCCTATTGTTGTTCTTGTGATCACTTAGCCACAGCTGTATTATACTTATATGTCACATCCTATCAAAAGCTTTTAATTTGCCCACCCTTCCTCTCTGACCATGAGCCATTTTCTTCAAGCATATTTCCTACAAATTTGTTTGTTTAGATTGTTTTTGACCACAGTTCCCTGTGTTGCAGGCTGCTTCCTGCATTTGGTTCCCTTGAAGTGAACAGAGACCTATGTATGCGTTTAGGTGGGCCAGAGTTTGTTTCTTTGATCTGCATCAGAGTTTGATTTTAACAGGGCTAGTGAGGATTCCCATAACAGACAACTTTATGAAGATTTCCCTCTACTTAAAACCATCTATCTTCCTATAAATTTTGAAGCTTTTCTTTAAACACTCAAATACATTATTATTCTGCCACCATCACAGAGCTACACCATGACGATGTGTGTACAAGAAAACATGCAGAGTTTAGCCCCCATATTTATACATTTTCACGGGAACTAAAAAGTTTCTTGTGCAAACAGAGCAAGTTCTCCGCACACCTGCTATGTCTGCTACAAG